GTTCGTGGTGATGCCGTTTGGGCTCACCAACACGCCGACAGTATTCATGGACCTGACGAATCGGGTCTGTAGACCGATGTTTGATCGCTCGGCCATTATGTTCATAGATGATATCCTTTTGTATTCCAAGACCCGAGAGCAGCACGAGGAGCACCTCAAGGAGCAGTTGCAAGTTCCGAGACAAGAACGGTTGTATGCCAAGTTCTCAAAGTGTGAGTGTTGGTTACGAGAGGTCCAGTTCCTCGGACATATCATTAACCAGGAGGGGATTTTGGTCGACCCGACCAAAATCAAGGCAGTTATGCAGTGGGAGGTGTCGAGGTCCCCTTCTAATATCAGGAGTTTTCTGGGGGTAGCAGGGTATTACCGGAGATTTATTTGAGACTTCTCCAATATTGCGGTACCCCTCACTCGTCTAACGAAGAAGGGGGTGGATTTCTGGTGGGGCCCCGAGCAGTAAAGGGCGTTTGAGACCCTCCGGCGGTGTTTGTGTGAGGCTCCAGTTTTGACACTCCCTGAGGGAGTAGAGGATTTTGTGGTATTCTGTGATGCATCCATCACAAGTCTAGGGGCGGTCCTCATGCAGAGAGGACGAGTGATAGCCTATGCATTGCGGCAGCTGAAGCCGCATGAGACGAGATACCCTACACACGACCTGGAGCTGGGAGCGGTGGTATTCGCTCTCAAGATTTGGAGGCATTACCTATATGAGTTTGATCAGAGATGCCCAGGCCGAGGGCATACGACCAGAGAACTAGAAGATGGAAAGGATCAAGGGTGAAAGGGCTCAGTTTGTTCAGGATAGCTGGGGGCTATTAACCCGATGTGGTCGATTTTGGGTTCCGATGACTGGTGGAGTCAGGCAGACAGTGATGGAGGAGGCTCATAAGTCTCATTTTTCCATACACCCGGGGGCCACCAAGATGTATCGAGATCTGAGTTTACTTGTGGCCATGTATGAAGCGAAAAATCGCTTGGTATGTCCAGAGGTGATTGACCTTCAAGATGGTCAAGGCCGAGCATCAGAGGCCGCATGGTAAGCTGCAGCCTCTGATGCGGAAAATCTTTTTTGAGTGAAGTGTTGGAGAAATATAATCTAATGTGTAAACATGTGAGTAAGAGTAAAGAGTAACATACTATATTAAATTACTAGCAACAAAATCAAGATGCGGAAAATCTTAAAAAGGAACAAGGCCTCAATATAATCAACATCTAGCTAGCAAGGTTTCTAGCTAGGAAAATTGATAATGCCACTCTTAATGATCTTGGACTACATTTGGAATGGAAGATTGGTTATATAAGAAATAAACAAATATACACAAACCGGTTTAGTAACATTTGTGCAAAGGAGAATAAAAAGAACAGAAGAGACAACTACAGAGCAACATGCTTATATGTAGGGGTGGCAGTTATTAACACGACATGACAAAAATATATGACACGAAAAGGTATTGGGACGAAACTGAAATTCGAATTTGTGTTCGTGTCGTGTTCGTGTTAAGTGTAAAAAACACGATGTCGTGTCATGTTCGTGTTTAAAATTCGACACGAAATTGACAGATTTAACATTTATTTGTGGTGTTTTTCATGTTTTTGTGTTATGTGTGATTAAATATTAATTAAATAAACTAATTTTTTTATTATGTTATCTTTATCGTGTCGTGTTTGTCGTTTTTTAATTGGTTCGTTTTCGTGTTAGTTAAAAAAACACATCATGTCGTGTCGTGTCGTGTCGTGTTCGTGTTACATAAAATCTTATCGTGTCATGTCGTGTCAGACAAAAACACGACACGATAGCCTGATTTGTTACCCCTACTTATATGTGTGTTCAAGAAATGTTCTCATAGCATCTACATCAATTAGCTACCAATAAGTGCTATTCTGTAATAATTACCATGGAAACCAGTTATTAGACCATGATTTATCTTATAAAATCCTAGTGTAATCAAAGACTGCAGAGAAACTCTATTTGACACAATATGCATGTTTGGATGAAGTGTCAGTCAACCACACAAGAAACTGATTATGCAAGTCTTAATGATCGTGTGCTATATAATACATTTTGAAGGGAAAATCAAGCTGGGTTTCTAACTCGATTCCTACAAAAACAAAAGGGTCACCAAACATAACCTACAAGGGGTGAGCAAAAACCGAACCGCAAAATAGCTGAAAAACCGAAACCGAACATATAACTGATAGTGTGGTTTTAAAATTTCAGAAAACTGCAATATCCGAACCGCACCGCAATATTAATATATATATATATATATATATATATATATATATATATATATATATAGAGAGAGAGAGAGAGAGAGAGAGCTAGGTTCATTTGTTTAAACTAATTATTGTGTTATTGTATGCATAAATGTGGGTCAATCAAAATTTAAAATAAAAATAAATAATTAAATAAATAAATAAGGGTAAATAGGTAATTTGATATATACTTTCCACAGATAATATACTATAATTAAGGTAACAATTGACTTAGTTTTCTCCACCCATCGTCTTTTAAAACCGTAACCAGTGTTGTAAAACTCGCCGAGTTTGCCGATTACTCCTCCGAGTACTCGCTACTCGGACCCTTGCTGAGGCGAGTTACAGAATCCCGAGTACTCCCCGATCGGCCCCTTACTGAACTGAGCAATGTTGTAAAACTCGGTCAACTCGGTGATTAATATGTATAATATACTTAATGATTTATTATTATTGAACATACACACATGTGATTATTACTACATATATATCTTAAATTTTAGTAATTATTCACGAAGTGAGACCATTATTTGTTTTTTTAGTTTTTGTGTATTCACATGTATCTAATTTTTTTATATATTTCAATCAACTTATGATTTTAACTTATTATTTTGACATATATAATTTCCCTAAAAATATTACTACATGAATTACCAAATCCGAGTACTCCCCGAGTACTCCTGAGTACTCCCGAGTACTCGCTACTCGGTAGTCGGCCGAGCAGGTACCGAGTAACGAGTTCTACAACCTTGACCGTAACCCTAATCAACCCTTTTTGACAACGACGCCATGGACACTCTCTGTAATGTTCTTACTTGAAGTGCTAGAATAAGCGGAAAGGACAGAAACTTAGCAACTGAATCGATGCACACGTCGTCTTCGTTCTCACTCATGCTTTCTTCAATTGTTCTTCGCTGGCTATGAGATGTGAGGAATGTGGGTCAAGTGACTATGGATCGGAGCTCCTATTGTGTGACCAGTGTGACTGAGGGTTTCACTTATTCTGCCTCAGACCTATTCTTGCTTTTGTTCCGATTGGCTCCTGGTTCTGTCGTTCTTGTTCCACCAATCGGAAGACCATTCAAGTATGTCTTTTTTCTTTTTCAATTTAAGTTGACCTGCATTTTGTCACATTGCATGTTATTGTTTAGGTTTAAGATTTTTCGGATTTACAGCTAAAGGGGTTTTCTGTTGTAAAGTAATGAACTAATTCATAGATGTTGATTCATCCAATGCTCAATTTTATACTGGTAGCTTGAAATGTGAAGATCCCCAATTAAACCCTAGATCTAAGGACTTTGCCCCAGTTGTCTGATTCAAATACTTTACAGTAATAAATGTAATTACATCCCGTGGAATTCTTCTCATACACCGAGGCAATTGATTCGCTTGATTATGTGAATGATAATCCAGGTAGTCGATAGGGTAAAATCTCATGGTAAATTCTTGACTAGGAACAACCCCTGATTTCTAGGATACAAGCCTTTGAATTATATGCATTTTTGTCTGTGTACATCATGTTTAGTCCAGTAGTGATTGGTTCACCTTTAACAATGTCATTTCTTGTTCTGTACCCAGGATTCCCGTTGGTTCAAACAAAAATCATTGATTTTTTCCACATCCAAAGGTCCTCTACATCAGGTGAAGAATTTTGTCAAGGTAGATAAGAGAGATCATTTATTCATGTTGTTTATGTTTTATTGCTTGATTAGAGAAAAAGATTGGTAAGATTTGTTTTGTTATATGATTGTAGATATAGGCAAGAAAAGGAGGCGAAAATGTTGCTTAATTGCATCAAAGAAGAAAAGGAGATTGTTACCATATAGTCCAAGTGAATATGTTTTATTGCTTGATTAGAGAAAAAGATTGGTAAGATTTGTTTTGTTATATGATTTTAGATATAGGCAAGATAAATGTATCAAAGACTGGACAATAATCACTGAATATGTTGGAGATGTTAATTACTTACAGAGCCGGGAAAATGATGATGAAATCATGAATTCCAATTCTGTTGGAATTACAGAAGTTGATGCTTGAAGAACGGGCCACAAAATTGAAACGGAGCACATTATTCTTTTAGAATGTATTAGTCGTTGTTAGATTTTGATGTATTCTTTCTGGTTTTGATTGTTTTTTAGTTTTATTCTTTAACAATAAATGTAATTACTAACAATTTTTACCCGTATTCTATAAGAAATAATATATTTTTTGTTTTTACTCTTCTAGTGATTGTTCAAGAATTTGTTATTCTACAGGAAGTTTTTAAATTCATGATCAAGAAATAGGTTCAAGAATATTTTTATTATTTATGGTTCAAGAATATTTTTAATTTTGAATATACTCATAAACATATTCTGTTAGAATGTCCGAATTAAAATAATTATAATTCTTAAAATCGGATTTTTAAAATTAATAGAATCTATGATCCCTTAAAAAATGCAATTTTCCTTTATTAAGTCTATATTAACTGACTGAATTACTCTTATAATTAATTAAGATGATATTTTTCAATTATATTTAATTCAATAATATATATTAATCACTTTCTTAAAATATTTAAATTTGATTGGCTCACATTTATGCATACAATAACACAATACATACTTTAAACAAAATAACTTAAGCGCATATATATATATATATATATATATATATATATATATATATATATATATATTATTTTTAATAAAAATACATTTATTATTGGCCAAAAAAAAGCTCGTGCATGCAAAGTACTTCATCACTCAAACTTTAGCGATTATGTGCCCTAGCCTCTGTCCAACGTCACCCCTCTTAAGGTTGAACGGATGAACCAATGAAGCCGGATTGCCTGAAGCACCCACCGAGCATCGACTATCAAGCATCTGCTCCGACGACTGGACTGGAAGTGGAAGGCAATACTCGATTCTCGTGACCTGAAGCGAAAAACGTAAAAGAAAACGGAAAAAAAAGGCTAAAATAATTGGTGCTCCAAATGATGTTGATTGGAAAACAGCTAGGCATGTTTAATTATTTTATTGATTACTTTGTATTTATCATTTTAGTACTTGCATATTGATCTTGAGCTTGATTGTGCTATAAAGAGTAAAAGACATTGATAAATTCAATGAAAGGATGACGGGTTTAAAAATATGTAAGGTTTTTTCCATATGTTTTAATTTCATATTATGATTATGTTTAATGGTGGTTTATATACTAATAATCTAATATTTATGTTTATTTATGTAGATTGAAAACAAAAAATTCTTCCAAACATCAAAGAGATTAGTAATGGTGGTTTATTTTATATATGTTTTGTTGGTGATGATAAAACTTGTTTATGCTTTTTGATGAAGTTTTAATTTTGATGAATATTCTCTTGCATGAAGTTTAAACTAAGATGTTGATGGCTTAATGGTTAGGAATTAAAATGAATTCATTAGTTTTAAAATGTGGTTGGAATGGATCGTGTGTTTATATATCTAATTTATTTACCTTGTTGAAGATTTGAAGTTACCAGTTGAAAAAAATTAAAAAATTAAATGGAATATATTTATAAAAAATATTATTCGATGCTACAGCCCCCTTTATTTGAACAAAAAAACATACTGTTTTTGAAAAGAAAAGAATACAAAAGCTAAATAAAGAAAATAAAGGAAGCTCGTATAACAAAGTAAAATCTTAATAAAGGAAATAAAGGAAAGTCAAAAAACTGAAAATGAAAATTGAGGTTGGACATAAAAATAACAGCACCAAACCAAATAAAACCACACCATTTCTATATTGCGGTTAATAACCGAAACCGCAAAAAAAAACCGAAACCGCAAAAAAAAACCGAGACAAAAACCGCACCTATCAGTTTAGTTTTATAGATATAAAAACCGCAATTTCGGTTTTTAGTTCGGTTTTAATCCAAAAACCGCACCAAACTGCACCATGCTCACCCCTATAACCTACGCAAACCATTAATAGAGTATCAAAGACGGTAGAGAAAGTCTATTTGACCCAATATCCATTTACATCTCAATATATTGTCACGATAGACACAGCAGAACAATGGGCACAAACCATGTGGTTGTAGCCTTGGTAGAGGTGGTGGTGTCAATTTCCAAGTTCATGCTACCCAATGCTTTTAACTACCAGAAAAAGGAAAAAAAAAAGGATAGGTTATATAAGATATAAAGAAAGAATGTAATGATCAATCTTAGTTTTAGTTGTAACAAAGGAGCACAAAGAGAATAGACAACCACAAAGCAGCATACATGACAGTTTCCATTCATATCAAAATCTTGAGAACTCAAATAAATGATTTCAATCAATACAAAACAGAGCAACCAGAAGCAAATTTGGGCATCCCGTGCAACACAACGGATGTGTACAGTATACAAAGCTGACAATGATATAGATATATTATCACAATTACTCCACAAAAAAGGCCCATATAAGCTCCAATACTACCGAACCGGTGATACTTGGAAATAAAGATGTTTAATTTATAAAAGGCACATGATTCACAAGCACAAACCAAAGTTACGTCATACTCAAGAGAGTATGGGCAAAGAGCAGCTTAAATCTAGTTTTATTTGGAAGTTGGAACAACAAACAAAGTCCGAGGCACATCATCAAATAGAGGCCAGGTATACTGCAACTTAGATCAGGTAATAGATATGAAATCATCAAAGACAGAATAAAGATGCCAAAGATGCTACCAAGACGCACAAACAGCAAATCCTTCCCAAACGAGCAATAATGGCATAAACTGAAGCGGGACCAAGACGTGTGGCAGAAACGATATGTTCTGCTGTGGAAGCCACGCCATAAAAAAGCAGACTGGTAACAGCTAAATTGGTGGACCGGGGATGTGTTTGGAAAGGAAACTCGGATCCCTGCGACTTGATCTCTGCAAAAGCATATAAACAAGAGATCATAAAGGTAAGTGATGATGGGGGCATGATTACAGTTTCTTCCCCAAATGCTCGTGGGAAATAGTTGATCCAAAGGCGACCTACAGGCTCCAGTAGATTAAAAGTTTGATCGATGTATTTGAACATAAACGCTGTGCCGAAATTATGAGTGCCCGCTTCTGGGGGTGGTTCAACCTCAACAACCGCAACTTCTTCGTCGACGGGATTATAGATGGCTGAAGGCATTAATTATCGTCTATGTAGAAACTGAAAGAAAGGGTGGGGTTGCGACTTGTGAAGATACCGCTGCTACCTTCGACACTTTATATACCGTGGGACAAGAACAAACTTCATGGGGTAAGAAGAACTTCACACCCTAAGATGACGCTGGGAAGACACCAAACATGAGAGAAAAAAACAATACATTTTAAAACAAACCTTAGATCGTTATACCAATAAAAGTCAATGCCACATACACGGGCATTCTTTAGGTAGTCCTACTCGGCTACTCCTAACGGGGAGGAGGGAGTCGCAACTGTGGGCTGCCATTTCACTCGACGTCATTCCATGTCACCGAAAACATTTTTTAGAATACATTTAAAAAAACAATTAAATGAAAAAAGTTATACAAAAATAAATTTATAAATTAAACTAAAAAATTGTATAAGATTATAAAAAATTCTAAAAGAAATATGTAGAAAAAGTTGTAGAAAATTAAATTTATAAATTAAACCAACTTTGAAATAAATTTAATTTTCAAACCAAATTTCTAACGAGACTTATATATGGACCACAAATATAAATTTAAAAAGATTGATGACTTGTTGAACCTGGAATAACACATAAATATATAGAAAACATGAGTTGAAATATATAAAAAATATAAGTTGGTTATCATTTTAAAAATAAAATATTTTATTGGTAACTTGAAGATATATAAAAAAATTATTTCTTAAATTCAGTAATAACTCATTTTAGTGTGTATTCATTTACAAAGCAACATATCGTGAACTCAAGCTCATTATATTCTCAACTAGGTGTAAGATCCGTGTAATATACAAGTTTTTTTTAAAAAAAATAATAATATATTTTACTAAGCATTACATATTTAATAATTTACAAAACTGAATTTGGAAAGAATATCAATATTAGATATGAATAAATCAATTTTTGCAAGGTTTCTGCAAATTATCGTAAATTCAAAAAACATTGACCGAAAATTATATTTTTCAATTACGAAGATTGATTTGAATTTAAATTGAATTTAATACATTAATTGACAAATTACATGAGAATTTATGGAGACATTTAAATTTCCTTATTTTCTTTATTATATTTTTAAATAAGATTTTTTTATAATTTAATAACAAAACCAAAAAATTACAATTTGACAAATGGTTTTAACTCCAGTTCTATGTTCTCTTGTTCCATATATCAAATGTTATGTTATCCTTAAAGTACTTTTGCCTAATTTTTTAAAATTAGGATAAATTATATTCCTTATAATTTGTTAACTTGTCATTATTTTATTTACCAAAAATATGACGTTCAACAAAAATATTTGTTAACTTGTCATTATTTTATAATTTGTGATAACTTTATGTTTTTGTTCGAAGGAAGATGAATGGCCTAATATTCGATATGACTTAATTGAAGATTTAAAGAAATACAAGGCATAATATGTTGGCATGTTTGGAGCCAAAGAATGGTCTCATAATTACAACGATTTTAATTTTTTCAGCAGTCATGCTCCTGAAGAATATTGGACGATAATGTCATATATGTGTGTAACATCCGGATTTCCAGGTATCATAATTTAAGTATTTCTTTTGAGTTAAGAAGAAGGACTCGACGAGTTAACGCCTAAACTCGTCGAGTATGATCGTGACTGATGACTCGGATTAATGAATACAAGTTGGTGAGGCGACTCGACGAGTCCGCGCTGTTGGCAGAAACCCTAAATCTTTGGGCCTGAGCCCTATTTAAAGGCATTTATAGCCTTCATTAGCGGCTACCTTCCTAGGAGAAAGAACCCTAGCGAACTTAAGTGTGTTGAGTGAGAGGAAGAGCTATCTTGCGCTTTTTGGTGTGATTTTGCAAGGAAGGAGGAGAGTTCCAACAAGAGGGATCAAGGAAGGTTATTGTTCTGAGTCATTCAAGAAAGGAGCTTCATTCTGAGGTACAAAATCGAACCCCTTTCCTTCCCTATTGTGTAGATTCCATTTTGGGGTTAGGGCTTGAATCACTTCATCTTTGGGGTTTTGAATGCCTCAAACCCCTCTTGCTAGTTTGTGTTATAGATCTGGACCCTTCTAGGTCCAGAGAGCCGAGAATATGAAGCTTTAGTTGAGTAAACCTTTGGGTTTGAAGCTAAGAGGAATTTATGGGGTTTTTATGGTATATTTTGCAAAATACACCATGCATGAACACCAAGTTCAGACCTTTACGTGACTTTTGGGTGTTACAAGGTCAGATCTATAAGTTAGAGAAACAGATCTGACCTCAGAAGGTCGTTTGAGCATTTCCATGGAGGAAACTCGTCGAGTCCATCGAAAGACTCGACGAGTCGGATCGGGTTGCTCCGCGTTTCGTGATCAGTGGTAACCCGTCGAGTGAAAGGTGAACTCGACGATTCAAGTGAGGCCTTAGGAGGATTCAGAGGGCACACATGGACTCGCTGAGTCACCCGAGTGCACTCGACGAGTCTGGTCAAAGTTGGGTCGTTGACTGGAGTTGACTTTCGTTGACTTTTAGGGTTTGGTCACATTTGGACATTTGGACCATTAGAGGGGTAAAATGGTCTTTTCCCCTTCTGTGAGATTATAAGAAGGGATTAGTCCAGCTTCTTGAGGTCTGATATTAACTAGGGATAGTTATTATGTGTTAGACAGGAGCTAGACCCGGGAGTAAAGATCACGATCCTGATTACGAGATTTTCATTCATTAGCTTACGAGGTGAGTCTCCTCACTATACTTACCTTGTGTGGTAAACCTTATGTGTGACCAAAGGGTCTTATGTGCATGAACTGTGTAATGAGATATCCTTCTATTTACTTGTGTTATGATTTATGAGTATTATATTGTAATGCTGAGTTAAGGGATCAGAGGGTCCATATGAGTTGTGGGACCAGAGGGTCCCACTGAGACACATCGACCAGAGGGTCTAACTGATTTATAGTCTTGAGTTGTTATTGTGTTGTGTGTGGTATTTTGGGGAACTCACTAATCCTTTATGCTTACCGTGTTATGTGTTTCAGGTAGTTCCGATGATCGCGGCAAGGCACCGATATGATTGTAAACACCGGCAGAAGATTGTTTTTATGATTCTGGGATTGTGTTTCCTTTTGTTGACATTTGAGGAATAAGTATTTTGAGAATTATGATGCAAGTTTTATTGTGTTAAAAATGAAAAAAATTTGGTTGAAAAAATTCGTTGTTACAATGTGTATCTTCACTGCTTCAAGATACAATATAATACTACGTGTTTTAACTATCACAAGAAGTTAGATGTACCTACAACCTCGATCTATTCCACTGGTGTGGTATGCACGTGTTGCCATAGCAATTAGATATGTTAATAAAAATCATTACGTCAAAGTTACATTGGATAAAGGATATTTGATGCCTACTATTATGCCACAATACAATGGCTTCATTCCAGGTATGTATGCTTGTGCAACATGACGGACTACTCCGTATGAAGATCGACTGGATGTATATGATAAGCTTTCGGCCATTAATCGTACCCGTGAGCATGTTGTTTTAGACAAATAAAGTTGTAATATATTAATTTTTAAATTTGTAATATGTATTAGTGTATTTTTTCAAAATTTCAAAGCTTAGTAAGTTTCTTTTTAGTTTAATATTTATTGTTACATGTGAAATTTTATTCGATTTAACCAATAAACCGAACAGGATAAAGCGTAACTAAATTAACCAAAACCGATTAATCGAACCTTATTTGGTTTAGTCATGGTTAGTTTTAAGTTGTAAAAAACAATAAACCAAATCGATTAAACCGAAAATCCAAAAAAAAAAAATGACCGAATAACACTACTAATTAGAAGTCACATCACTCTGAAGTAAATAAACATAAAATTCGATGAGTTTTTACCGCTTTATTATATAACAAAATAGGTCTAAAATAACAAAAATCTTAATATTTTTATTATCTAATTAATATATTGATAATAATATACATTAAAATTTTAATATATAAGAGGTATTAATTGCAATTTTTATAAGAGTATAAAGGATGAATTTAAAAATATTTAAGTTATTTAAAAAAGTAAAAATCATAATATATAAAAGTATTATTATATTAAAAAAAATGAATGACATATGAAAGAAACACCATATGGTTTGTTGTCACAAGCACGAAGGTCCACAACCATGTCCCACCACGAGCCACTGGGATAGTGTGACAGTGGCGGGCCTCAATGGGGCCAAGAGGGGTCATGGCCCTCTGTTTTTAAGCTTCCTAATACCTTTATATATTATTTATTTATGTATAAATCCAATGATCATTTAAATGGATAATCAGACCCCCTAAGTGTTAAGGTCGAAGTATTATAAAATCCAACTATTATTAACTTAGAATGTAGATAACCAATTAACTAAACTTCCGAAAATCAGTAAAAAAATCTAAAACGATCATTAGGAAATTACAAAAAGTAGAAAATTATCTTTTTAAGTCCTATAAAAAGGTAAAATACATAATCAACTTTACATAATTCTTAACTCAAGCTTTAAGCTTAAGAAAACAAAAAACCTCAAAATATTTCGCCCCCCTCGGAAAAGTCAAAATCTCATCGGAAATAACATGTCTGCCAACGTCCTAACTATATCCACTCCACCAGTATCATTCATCTGATTTTCACCTCTGTGCGTGTGCGCTTTCTCATATCTGCCGATCTCCAGTTGTCTTCCTGTCTCGCCGGACTACTCAAATCTGAACTTCGTCGTGCCTCCGTCGGCTGCTGCTCTCCGTCTCTGGTATGATCTTCGTCGGAATGTGCTTAACAGTTCTTCATTTATCTCTTTTATTCTCTTACTCTCTCTCTCTCTCTCTCTCTCTCTGTTGTCTCTAAGTCATCATAAGCTACGAGATATGGCATGGTGTGTAAAAATAGACATTTGATATGATACAGCTAATCTCAAAAAGCGGACAAATATTTAAAATTCTTATTGCTTTTATTGATAAATTACTTTATGTACTTGTATTTTACATTGTAAAAGCTGTTAGA